GGAGCATCCCCGGGCTCGCCGGGCTGGCTCGGAGGGGAGTGGGATGGATCCTGCCTTCTTCAGCCCGCGGGACTCTGGACTGTGCCTGTGTGTCCCCGAGTGCCCAGCAGCACGGCACAGGGGTGACAAAGTCTTAAGCTGTGCTACGGAAGGTTTAGGCTGGACGTTAGGGAGAATTCCTTCACAGAAAGAGTGACTAGATATCGGAATGGGCTGCCCGGGGAGGTGATGGGTTTGCCGTCCCTGGAGGTGTTTAAAGGAGCGCTGGACGTGGCACTCAGTGCCATGGTCTGGTTGGGGAGGTGTGTTGGGTCACAGGGTGGAGTCGATGATCTTGGAGGGCTTTTCCAACGTAGATAATTCTGTGATTCTGTGCTGGTGTTTGTCTCCCACCCCCTCAGCAGCCAGCTGGAGGTTCTGAGCCCCTCTGGAGCCCCCAGGCTCTGTTGTTGCCTGCCGCAGGTTGGGGCAGTTTTGCAGGAGCAAAGGGGCTCTGAAAGTTACCAAGCAATAGCGCTGGGGCTGTTACTGCATGTTTGTATCCTGGCCAAGTTTTGTTGTTACCATTTATCAAAGCTGGGCACTCTCCACATTGTCTGATTCCAAACATGATAGCTGCAGCGAGGCAGAGATATTTCAGAACGAGACGCCTTAAAATAACAAAATTAATCAGTGTGCTGCAAGGAGCATTGCCTCAGGAAATGAAAAACTGTATGGGCTGGTGTGTGAGGACACATCCCTCACTGCTCTCAGCCAGCATGGCAGGCTCCTTAACCTGCTCTGTTGTCAATCCTTGCTCCTCTTCTGCCAGCCAGGGTTTCCAAAAATACTTCATCCCCTCCCCTGCCTCCTGCAGGCACAGATCAGATCTGTCCAAAGGTTGGTGCTGAGTGCCTCAGAGGCAGCAACAAGTGGGAAAGGTCTTTCTGTGAGGGCAGCATCCAGATAATTTGGAAGCTAAGTGGAAATTTTCCTTCAGCTGTGGATATGCTTGCATTTTAGAGGGAGGGAAACTTGGCATCCTCCTTGCATTTGAGATTTCTTCCCTTGGCCTGAGCACTTCTCCATTTCAATACAGGAGCTGAACAATCCCATAAGCACAGCAGGGGCAGCACAGGTGAGGGAGGAAGGGAAGAGCTGGGTGAGTTGCAGCTTAAATGGTGGAGAAATTCGTGCAGAGCCATGAAGGTTCAGCTGGTGCCATGCTGTGCACTGCAGTGCCAGGTCTCTGTGACTCAGGTGCCCTCAAAGTGTCCCTGCTCCTGGCACAGGGGTGGAACCTGGGTGATCTTTAAGGTCCCTTCCAACCCAAAGCATTCTGTGATGGTTCGTTGCTGAAGTGACTTTCACAATATCCCAAAACTATTTGTATGGAGCAAATGGTGCTTGCTTTTGCAGCAAGAACCCCACCATCCTTCAGTGGCTTTAGTGTTTATGAAAAATGGCTTATTTTTGTCTTAAACAATTGACATTTTAGCAATGCAATGGAAGAGAAAGCCTTTGGTCACTTGTATTGCTCTCCAGCTTTGTTAACTGTACAAGTTTTCTGGATGTGTGTTACAAGCAGTTGTTCAGTAGGAAATGTCCTGTCTGTGTTGCAGGGAGGTGACAGCCTGTCTGTGGTGACCTGCCAGTCAGAAACAACCCTGGTGAGTTTGGATTGATGCCCCAAAACCCCTCTGGAGCTCCTGCTCCTCTGTGTGCTGCCTCCTGCTCACCAAGCACCCCTCAGAAGGAGAGTGAGCAGTGGCACTGCAATGGGCTTGAGTCACAGATCTCTCATTTCAGATGTAATTCTGCCTTCCAGATCCTCAGCACTGGGGCTGCAAATGATGTTTGCCTTTATTTTGCTGCTCTATCAAGTTGTGGGCTTAAGTAATCCTTTTAGAGAGGTTTAATGGGATTGAATAACTCCTTTAGCTAAAGGGTTCTGCAGATCAGCCTCTACTTGGGACATTTTGAATTTTCTGCTGCTCATATTTAATATTGACGGGAAAGGTCTCTTGTTCTGAGCAAGAATTCACAGTTTATCTGTATAATCAGACTTCACTTGGCACCACCTTAATTCTGGTCACCATTGCTGTGCCCAAATCTGCATCTGCTTAATGTTACTATCTTTCTTCTCTGTAGCAGAGGTTTTGTCTTATTAGAACAAAAGATCTTTCTACAAATGGGAGATTGAATTTGAGATTATGTTATGATATCTTAAGAGCGGAGTATTTGCAATACAGAAAAAAAAATCCATTTCTCTTTCAGAAGTTAAAGAAGAAGATTTTTCACAAACCTCCAAAGTCACCAAGTAAGTGTTCCAAAACTTCTTATTCTGCAGTTGCAAAACTGGATATGTTTGTGGGATACAGGAACTGGGAGCTTTATCTGAAATAAGATCTTGTTATTCTCTTCAGAATTATTCACTGCTGTGTGCACCTATTTGAGATCTGTTCTGTAACCTGTGAAGTCCAGCTTGTATAGACTAAAATATTGACATTTATGAGTTGGTTGTAATTCTTGGTTCTCCAGCATAATTTACTTTTTTTCTCATGTTATGCCTTCTGATGGCAACCATTCTGAATTTGTTTTTCTCCTTGTCTTTTTGGAGAAATGCTGATACCTGTTGTGCAGAGAGACTCTGGAATTACTGGAGCTCTCTACCATCCAGTCATAGATCTCTGGGTGTGGATTTAGTGGTTCTCTGTTTCATTTGTTGTGATGGGCTGTTTTGGTGTTTTTCACAGTACAATGTTGTTATTATTATTAGATCTGCAGTTCTAATTTTGGGTTTGTCCTTTTTTTCTGGGATTTATGTTTTTTTGCTATAATTTTCCATTTACCTTGCTTCATTGGCTTCTAGTGAATGTTACCCTAAAGTGTTGTTAATAACAACATTTAGATATTCAGGTATCTTAAGGATGCCTATCCAAACTGTACACATAAATATTTCCACATGTGTTGAGTCATACTTCTGTCACTCTGCTTTTTCTAAGCCTCCTCATTTTTTGGAATGGTATTTTTTTATTTATAGTGGATTTTTTTTGATTTTGTGGGTTTTTTATATGACTGTCCCATTGCTCTGTATAAGCCAGTCTGGAATATGCTGTTAAATTCTATTTTTACAAGTAATAGGATTGAGTCTGGAAACTTTGAAGAACAAGACAACAAGAATTTTAGTAACCTTGAGCTTTTGAAGGCAGCACTGAGATATTTTCTTTTGCTGCAGAGTCTCCCTACAGCTCCAGCACACAACTGTATCCTAGAAAAGCTGCAGCTTGGAGATCTCTGCAGGGAACAGGCAGTGCTTGTTTTGAGAATGCAACTGTTGAAAACCCAAGGCAGATGTGGCTGGGAATTCTGAAACAAGGTATTAGTATAGAAATGTTGTTTGCATTTATGGATAAAATTCATAATTAAGGACAGCTTAACATATAAACTATTTAAAAATATGTTTTTGATTAAAGGTTACATAGGAGTTAATTTCACTGTTATTTATTTGGGTGGTTGGAATTATCTGATCTTGAGCGTTGGCATTTATAGAGGGAATAATTAACAGCATCTGGAGCTTTCCATGTTGCATTTGTTCAGAATAATTCCACAAATTTAATTCACAATTATCCCTGATTTTTGCATTTTTGTTCCATTTCTCTTGGCAGGAATGAGCCATGCTCTGAAATCAGATGCTGACATGGGGCATGTGCGAGCAAATGTTTCCAGTAGCACTCCAGAGTATTTGAAGGAAGCTCTAGGAATGAAAAAGCCAAAACATGCTCGTTCTTCCAGTAATGGTAAGCCCTATAATAGTGTGGTAGATAAAAGTGAATTATTTTTTTCCCCCCTCTAAAAACACACATTACTTAAGAAAAGCAAGAGCCAATTTAGTTTACTGAAATACATGTGTGAAAATATGATCCGTGAGATACTTTTTGAGATTCCTAAATTGGTTGAGGCAGGGATTTCCAATTTTTTTGAGCAATGAATCACTATTAGCTTTCAAAACTTTTGCAAATTGCCATGCATTTGCAGCTGAAAACGTTGCAAATATAATATGGTTCAATGGGACAGCTGTAGACAATTTATTGTGACTTCAAAACATAGTTTAGGAACCATTGATAGAAACCATCTGCTTGCCTGAAATTCTGTGTAATTGACTCCTTTTACTTCTTCTCTAGAAAGTGTTTTATCATGTGGTTGTGACATTAAAATCAAATGAGTTTTATGAGAAGAGCAAACTTTCAAAGTTTTATTC